AAATTGTAAATTGACCGGTGCCAAAGGTCGTGGGGTATATTATAACCACCAACAATCTTAAAATCTCAGCAAGATCGTCCGATTGGTGTAGGTATTAGAGATTGAAAGATTTTTTGCTCAATCTTTTCTTTCAAGATTTTGTATCTCTTTTGGAGCACTGCCGATTTTGCTTAGAGTTAGACTCTAGGTCCCTTTATTTTAGGAGTTGGGATTATTTATAGGGGTAGGAATTAGGTTATCAAATAGAAAATGGGTATGGGCTCAATGTTTTGGGCTATCCGAAATTGAGCCTTTTCAATTAAGACCAAACAAAATTAGCCCCAAATTTCGTACTCATTCTTCTAGAACAAGACCAAAAATACTACATCATTTACTAATTAATCCTACTTAAATAAAATAACTATTAAAATAAGACTAACCGTTAAAACAAACCTATTTTTTTTTGGTATTTTTCAAGATTAAAAACGACTACAAAATATTAATGAAACTATTTTTTTGTAATTTTTGTTTTCTTGTAATAAAATAAAGTAAAAAATTAAAATTAGTCGAAATAACTATATTAGGCCTAAATTAAATATTTACGTGCTAAAATATGAAAAATCTTGGGAGGGTCAAAAATCACATGTCTACACAACTTCCATTCAAACTTATGAACTTTCCAAACCTTCAAATTTTTAATTTTTGTCAACTTGTGCCGAAACCTTCCAGAAACATCCAAATGCTAATCCGAGCATATACCCGAGTCTAAAATCACCATCCAAACCTAATGGAACCATTAAAACTCCGTTCTGGGGTCAAATTCAAAAAAAGTCAGACTAGGTATACTCTTTCAACTTAAAACTTCAACAATGAAATTCATTCTCCCAAACCGATTCCGAATAACCTGAAAACCAAAACCCACGATTCACATAAGTCATAATACATTATACGGGTTACTCATGCCCGTAAACTACCGAGCGAAATGCAAATGCTCAAAACAACCGGTCGGGTCGTTACAGTTATGAATTTTAGTATTTTAGTTTTACATACTATTAGGAATAGCTAATTTGTTATTTAGGGTTTTGATGGGATCTTTTGGAGGATGAATTCTTGTTAAGTTTGAATATAATTTAGCTTTTGTATTTCTTTACTTGTTCAACTACATGCTTATTTCTGTTGGTTGAATGACCATCAATTGACTGTGCCTATTTATTATGTATTGCTTGGGAAAGGTTACATATTTAGGTAGTTGTTGAACAACGTCACTCCAAACGTATATGAGGAATCAATACGGCAGGTTTAAAGGTGAGTTTAGGAATAAATTAAAAATTAAAATAGTATTTAAGCATATGCAATATTGGAATAATAAAATATTGGGCATAGTAGAAAGTTAATTAGAACAATTTGTTCGTAATAATAATTTTGATATTAACAAAAAACTCAAAAAATAATTTACACAATTGAGAATGAAAGAAAATTAAAGTTTTAAAATATATATTCCATGCACGTACTATAGAAAATAATTATTTAAAATAAAACATTACATATTCTTGAATATTATGCTCAATTATATTATTATTTTGACATTATATATGCTAGAAAAATATTTTTGTTTTATAGGTAAGTTCATAATATTGATTAAAACTAGAAAAAATTTAAACATTGAAAAAGCAAAAAAAAAAAAAAGGATAAAAGTTAATAATTTAGAGGGGTAAAATAGGTATTTGGCGATCAAAAGTTTGATAAATTTGGTTATATGACCTTCTAAGTGTTATAGATATAGTTAAGTTTTTTTTGTTGTTACAAACTAAAAAAAGATGATTTTGGTAGATAATTTCGATGAACTCGAATTATAAGGAACAGTTTTTTTTATATAAACTGACATTATAATCTAAAACTTCAAAAAGAAAACAATTAATAGTGAAAGAGTTCTAATTAAAAGATGATAAAGCACTAAACTTTGTTTCTGTTTTAAACCTATGGTGATGTTGAATTAATAACCGCTTTCAATATATGTAAGCTCTATTTTATTTGATCAATCCAAGCATATGCAGTTTCGCAATTTATTCGAGAAATTGAAATTGAGATCCATTAAGACGGAATATTGTTTTTATACGTTGAAATATATTTAGGATGCAATGGAAAAGAGTGAGAAATTATTGACAAAACAAACATTGAGCTGTCATTTTATCTCAAAGGAGTGAGGACCAGTATGTGAATTAGTATATGTAATCTTATATGCATTTACCATCCAGGTTTGCGATAGGATCAGTGGTTTAAAACGCGTTTTCGGGCCGAGACTTGGGGCGAGGCACACCAAAAATGCTCCGTGGCGATGGTGTGGGACGGAAGTCTCAAGAAACATACGTCCATTAATTCGGGGCGTTCGCCCGCGCGTTTCAGATGCGTTTTTGTAGTGAGAGATAAGCCCTAGAGACCTTTTCAAATTAAAATAAAAATTGTTGAATAAGTCCTTCATATAATACCCAAATTCTCAAAAACCAACTTGGTAATTACTCAAAAGTTTGAAAAAGGAACTGAACTGTATTAAATTTAAAAGTCAAGACCTTTTTTATTGATTGAAGCCTTAATTCATGGTCTTTCCCAATTCTTTATCTTGACCGCTTGTCTGCTAATATCTCCCAAAAGCAACAAATATTCAATTTTTTTACAAATACAAAGAGAACTACATTCCCCTTCATAAGTGCAAATTATAGGTTAGTCATCCTTTTTGTTCCTCCATATAGAAAATTTTATTCTTTTCGACTCAAGTTAATTGTGCTTCTAATTAGCTTATAATAGATTCTTTTGATTAATTTTTTGTGGGGATGGAACAACATACATATATATAGTTTTCTTTAATTTTTATGCAATTTTACCTGTTTATAAATATTTATTATAATTATATTAATTTATAAAATATTAAAAATTAAATACCTATTGGGCTTATGCTCCGTGCCTCGGGACTTACGTCTCGCTAAGGCTTATGTAAAACGTTTCGTTTTATGTCCACGCTTTTAAAACACCGAATAAAATAGATAATGTTTCTCAACTCTTAACCAGAAATCTTATCTTTTATTCCTGAAAATAAAAAAAGTTTCGATAGGAAGCGCTCATCCGTAAATTAAGTGTTATGCAGCTCAAAGTAGGCAGAATAGTGTTTATACTTCTTAAAAATTTTACATTATCGATATATGTTTATACTTCTTAAAATTTTACATTATCGGTGCACGTCTATAGGGTGCTTCTTAACCTCTTCTTTATAGTCACTTTCAAAACGGTGTTAAGACATCCGACTTCATATAATAATCTTATTCATTATACGCTTCTAATACAATTTTTTCCTACAACAAAAATCCAGTAAATTTTTATAAGTGAGATCTGGGGAGGGTAGAGTGTACGCAGAACTTACCCCTATCCCGGATGAGAAGAGAGGCTATTTTCGTAAGGCCCTCGATCGAATTCTATTTTTCAACCGAAAAGTAATATATGGTCTGATCTGCTTTGTCATCATATACTAGACCTCATATTTTAAACTACTTTTTTTTAAAATAATTTTAATAAGTACAATTCCGTGCTCTCAGAACAATTTGGAAACAATATACTACTATATTTTAATAATATTGAGAAAAGTATCTGGAAGCAATAAAATATTCAGATAGAATTAAAGAAAATTCAACAATCATCAATGCTAAGAGGAAACCTAACTCGGTCCTATTACTTATAACTTCCCAATTTATTAAACTATTAAGAAAAGGTATGTTGCTCAAACTCTTCAAAATCCTTTTCAACGTACATTTATGGCTTGTATGTAAACACGTGGATCCATTCTCTTACCCATAATTCCAAAATCCTAAGATTTAGGTGATGACAAATCCGATCTCTAGAGCCACACTCGTTAAGTGCAAAGTCTAGCTAAGAACTTATCCCTTCCTCATACTCAGTCTCAAAATGGTGTTATGGCATTCGAACTTCATAAAAATAATTTTCACAAAATTAATTTTACATCCATAGTACAACTATTCCTTTATCCTACTTTCCAACAATAAAAAATATGGTCTCAATTACACTTTTGGTAACTGAACCTGTCGACGTCTGAGCATGATATTTGTCATGGGCGGCTTTCCAGCCATGCCCCATGACCCCTTGGGCGCGCCCCGTGGCGTCCTAGCGAACCTCCCAATGCCTAGCGCCACGGACGGCCCCGTGGTCTTGGCCGCGCCAAGTGACAAGCGCGCAGGTGCCTCTGTCGCCCCACCGATATCCCTCGCGAGCGCCAAGTCGCAGGCAGAAGCCAAAAGCGCCGTGCGCGCAGACAACGCCACGCGCGCAGACCGTGATGCCAAAGACACTGCTGCTGACAACGGACCTGCTGCTGCCTTATAGAAAACTAAGTCATTTTCATTGTAAATATAGAGTAGTTTTATTTCATGTACTTCCATTATGTTTCTCTAGCTTAGTCAAGTCTAGTCTTGTAACTTTGGATTATTTTTTTTAAGTACTATTAGGGGGGATCAAGCAATCAAAACTTTCTAGCAAGCAAGCAATTCTCTGTACTGGTGTCTCTCCCCCTCGACACCGCGTTGCTTTTCTGTAATAGCTTTCATTAATGCAATCAAGCTTTCTTTCATTCTGAATTCTCACTTCTGTTCTCTCAATTGCTCTTAACATTGGTTTTCCCGTACGGCACTGGCAATCTCGTCTAGCGTACGGAGGGGACCTCAGTTGGCGGACAGCAACTGCACTGACATCAGTTGCCTAGCCTTACGTCGCCCTTCCAAGGAATCTCAGGAAGGCGCCGCGTAACAGTATTTGTGTGTGGACATGTTAGAGTAGAGTCAAGTAATGGGCCAGTTGAGTTAAATATTAGATACTGTATTTATACTAATGTCACTGCTTGCCATTCGACTTTTTTCTTGCATTGTATTTACATCGTGGTTCTTAGCTATTAGAACTATACTCTTTATGAAATTCAGGATAATCCATGATACTCCATTTAAAGTAATGCCCTTCCATTTTCTAGACATACAGAAGGAAAACCCTACTTTCAGCAATTACCCTACTGCCTCTAAGCCTTGTAGAAGATCTTATTTGTAAGTAGCTATACTTATTTTCGCCTTGACCGGCAAAATTGCTTTTTGAATTGTTGTAATGCTTTTCTTCCTTTTTTTAAATTTTCCTTGTGCTGTTTTATCTTTCTTGTTCTATTGTATTCATGTTCTATGGCTCCCACCCTCTCACTAAAGTGCTGAAATACTTATATAGGATTTAGTTGTTGCTGTTGAGAAGATGAACTCATTCCTCCGCACGAAAAAGACTAGGCCATACTCCTTCCAACAAGATGAAATTGCGGTATTAGATTTAGGTATGTGTTTTTCACCTTTTTACTTTTTCATTTTATATTTGTGTATATGTTAATTAAGGACATGGAAATGTAGTTGTCATTAACTGAATATTTACATTCTAGCGCCTTAGCTAATTGCTCTAATAATTTATGGTCTGGTTCCTCTGACAAAATTTCCGCGTGCCTTATTTTCGCTATTTCCTTTGGGGAAGATAGATTTGCATCTTGTCTATGGACTGTGGATGCATTATTGGAAGATGCAGATCGCCTGAACTGTGAATTGGTTTAATCCAATATGCATTACCAATGTGTACCTTGTTCGTAATAATCATATTTTGCAGAAAAGTTTCCAAGAATGTTAGTGTCATGGAAATATTATTCAGATTATTGTTACAAGGGTGAGCCTCTAGGAAATTTGAATACCATGGCCCTTTAACTGTTATCTTGTGAAAGAATATTTACTTCTTTCTCATTCACGTGGGAAGATGTTTTTGGACCTTGGTGGGTAATGGGACAAGAGGTTTGACTCTTTAATACTCTTTGTCGCAATAGATGAAAGGTTTGTTGTTTTCTGTTCCAAAAAACACAGGATTCAGACCTTTAGTTGGTGGTTCTAACTATTTAGCTTAGGGCTCTTCTGTTGAGTTATGTTGTAAGGGTCAATGCGTCCATGATCACTTGACTATACAGCCTATAGATGTTGATGAGAAAGCTTGAGACTTTTTTTCCCACTTCAGTAATGGCACTCACCAGATGTCATGTCAATGATGCTTGGTCTACCAGTAGTTCGGTTGGTCCACATGTTCATGCTTAACGTATCAGGGCTTGTTGTAAATTAGTTAACATCAGTCACATGATTCACATCCAAGCCTAAACCAATTGCAGTAGTGCCAAGAGCTTAAGTTTGGAAAATGTTGATAGCTATTTCTGTCACACCCAAATTTCACCAAGTCGTGATGGCACCTAACTCAACCCGCTAGGTAAGCCTACCAACATATCTCACAACTTGAACTGAAATCACCAAATAAATAATGGAATAAAAATGCGAAAACCAATACAGCTATCCCAAGGACTGACAATACAAGTCATGAGCGACTAAGAATAGGAGTACAAAACTAATATGAAGAAACTTACATTTGGAATAAACATAAACAGAAATACAAGTCCCAAACTACCATGAACAAAATAGTAGCTTGCAACTGGAATGTTGGTACATCTTAAATGCTAACCTTCGTCTTCCACAACAGCTTAGCTCCAAAATCTGCACGCAAGGTGCAAATGTATAGTATGAATACAGTCGACCCTATGTACTCAGTAAGTATCAAGACTAACTTCAACGAAGTAGTGACGTGGTTTAGTCAAAAGATACTCACTTTATATAACCTGTACAACTCACAAGCGTATACAATAATAGAGAAATAACCAAGAAATAGCCAAATAACATCAGATATCAGCAGTGTTATAAAAAACGTGCGCTTCTCGCTTAAAGCGCAGAAGCGATGCAAGGCGATGGCGTTGCGCTTTTCTGCCCTAAAAAGCGACTCACATAAAAAAGCGCACGCTTTACCCTAATAAGCGAGAAGCGAGGCGATGGAAAAAGCGCGCTTAAGAGAGGGTAAGGCATCTGCTAGGGTTTTTTTTTTAAAATTTGGCAAATACACAGTTTGCAAATAAACTTACGCAAACACTCTGCTGCTGCAAGCGACGACTACCAAGCTGTAAGTTTCTTCTTCTCTCTTCTTCTCTTCTCTTCCTCTGATTTTCTTTAGTTCACCGTTCGACTCCGTTTTCTCTTCTTCTTTCTATTTTTTTCAATTTTTATTGTTCTGTTCTTGTGCCATAATTTATGCTCTGTTCTTCTGTTCTATGCTCTGTTTTTCTCTTCTTCTTTCTATTGTTTCAGTTTTTATTGCTCTGTTCTTGTGCCCTAATTTATGCTCTGTTCTTCTGTTCGACTACACTGTTTTTTCAGTTTTTATTGCTCTGTTTTTCTGTTCTTTCACTGTTCTGTTTCGATTATTTACTTTGTATCTATTATTTAGTATCTATTTTTTACTTCTTGATTTAAGAATTGAAGCATTTGCTTAATATGTTATTCTTATTGAGTTCTTGGCCATTTATCTATGCCTATTTAATTTTTTTTATTTAGTGTTAAATTGCGTTTCACATGAAAAAAGCGCGCGCTTCGCTTCTCGCTTCTCGCTTCGGTGAAGCGAGGCCTCCTCGCTTTTTTCCGCTTCTTGCTCTCCAAAACACTGGATATCAGCAATAAGGTGCACAATTCAAGAAGAAGGTAAATACGCATGCTTTTCAAGTAACCAGATCAAAGCATGTACAAATGTACCAAATCTGCATATCAAGGAAATGTACACTAAATAATTTAACTCAAGTACTTTTACATGATCGCAAAGGGATTTGCATGATAAAGATCCATTTTCTCAGAAGTTTTTCGATAGCATTTATACGAATGATCCAACATGAGTCTACGCGTCAATGCATGATAAAGACTATATATACATCAAATCCGACACTCTCTAAGTGTTCAACAATCCGCTAACAAGTTCCATGCATATGAAACATGCATGAATGTACATATGTCAATTTATGTATGAATGTTTCTACACGAGTGTAGGATGTCAATACATGCTGAAGACTCAATCCTTTCCACAGAATCAATACCAATACACACATTGTGCTCACACGGCCCAAGGTACAATAGTTGATCACCTGGCTCCGAAGAGACAGATCCATATCCAAATGCTGCACGGAGCCACGGACAACTCACGTGCTGCATAGACAACTCACATGCCAATAATAATATCACTCGCACAGACAACTCATGTGCCTTAAATATACCAATTTGCATGGACAATTCACGTGTCATACTCAATATCAATACTAAAATAACCGCACGACAGAAACCTCGTGCCCTAATCATCTCAACTACACGGACAACTCGCGTGCCATAGTCTCAGTTCATATGAGAGAACCACATATAGAGATGTATGTATATGAATAGGTGATAAGCATGTACGATGCACATGTGCAGAGAAATAACTATGCAGGAATGTATGCATGTGTACAAGAGATGATCTCTAGGCATGAAGTGTGCCTATGTGTATCGTATGACTACGACCCCAACCTATAATCCATCCTCCAAATAATCGTTATGTCCAATTAAGCATCAAAAGCCTAAATATAATCTCTAACATGAATATCGAAACTCAAGGCGTCATACAACAGTTAAGGTATATCACAAGAAAAACAAGTATGGATGCACGTTTATAATATAACGTGCGACCACGATGCATATCAAGTATGTCAACAATCTCAAAATAAGTCTATCGGGCTCAAATAAAATTTCATAAGTTAAAACATGATCTCTAGCATGAATGATTATGCCCACGTAGTCGTAAAATCAAATAGAGCATAAGTCAAGAAGAATACACATCCGATTCGGGCATAAAGAAGCCTAAACTCTACCTATAATATGCTATAACCTCAGTATCCGCATATATGCTCGTTATCTCACATATATGTCACCCTAAAAACACATAACACGTAGCAAATAATTCTATTTTTAGAAAACATTCCCTTAATCGAGGCTTAGTAAGATATTTACCTCCAATTGCCCAAAACCTAACCAAATATCATTTAGGAAAGTCAAATAATGCTAAAAGTAGCAATCCGAAAGCTTCAATCAAAATCCCAAAAATCAACACATGCCCACATTGTCAAAACCCGAAACCAAGATCAAATCTCAATGACCCATAACTCCATGAGTCCAAATATGTTATTATTTTTCAAATCCGCGTCCAAATCGATGTTCAAAACCTCAAAATTCTCTTAAGTTGTGGAAAAAAAATCCCAAATTACACTTTGAAATTTTATGTTTTAGGTATAGAAATCCATGGGAAATCAAGATATATGATCAAAATCAAGTAGAAATTACTTACCCTCAAGATATGGGTGAAATCTATCTCCAAAAAATCGCATTTTCTTGTTCTCCAAAACTCAAAATAGTGAAAAATGAGCAATTTTCAAAATTCTGGACATAAAATACCCCTGATAGTAATTCCTTCTTCGCGATCACGATTGCTATTCACGCGATCGCGGTGCACAAACTGTTCCAGGCCAGATTTCCTTCTATGCGATCGCATATGCTCCTCAAGCGATCGCGATGATCAGCCACCCCCCTACACGATTGCGGTCAAACCCTCACGACCATGGTGCACTTAACCTCCCTCGGACCAGCTCCTCTACGCGAACGTGGACAAACCCGTGCGACCGCGATGCTGGACAAGCCAACACTTTGCGATCACGGTCCTCCTCCTCGCGACCGCGAAGAACAAAACTTCGCCTGCCAAGTTCCTTCTACATGATCATGGCACAAGCCTCGCGATCATGATTCACTTCACTAACACTAGAAACCAGCAATTCCAAAATGGCTCAAAATGATCCGAAACCACCTTGAAATTCAGTCGAGCCCATCTGGACTCCGTCCAATCTCACTAACTAATCTGTATACCTTCCACGAACTTGTCCAAAGTACTCAAAACACGAATAACAACATCAAAACCAAGAATCAAAGATCAATCCAAATTATGAAATTCTCTTTTAAGTTCGTAAATTCCAACTTTCAACTAGAAGCGTAAGAATCATTTCCAAGCCACCCGAGGCCCAAACCAAATATACGTACACGTCCAAAATCATCATAGGAACCTATTGGAACCTTCAAATCACCAATCCGAGCTCGTTCACTCAAAAGTCAAATCTTGGTCAACTATTCCAACTTAAAGCTTCCAAATTAAGAATTACTCTTCCAAACCGCTGTCAAACCTCTCGGAAAACAAAACTAACCATACTCGCAAGTTATAATACATTATATGAAGCTACTCAAGGTCTCAAATGACAGAATGGGATGCTATAACTCAAAACGATCGGTTGGGTTATTACAATTTCTCATACCTTGGGGGAAGGTTGGTCATTCCTTGAGGTTAAGCGATCATTACCTTAGTAACATGATTTTTAGGGGTGTAGTCTGTTTGGGGGAAGTAGGTTGTTTTCATTGTTATTAGAAGCCTTATTGAAGGGAAATATACTCGATACCGACCGGGAGTCATATTAAGACCAACTCATAAGGAAATTTATCCTATCTCGAGATTTATTTTGCAATTTGTGAATGATTCATTGCACCTACCATTTGATCCTCATTTTGGTTGTCTTTTATTTTGTTGAGACTTCTGATGTGGGAAAATGCTTCCCAGAAAGGAGATCTACCATCTTAAACATGACGTGTCTGAAGTGCGTTTGCTTGAGCCTTAAAAAAGAAAACAATTTCTGGCCCTAGGACACTATACAAAGATTCCTAGAAAAGATAGAAACAATTTTCTAGTCAAGGTTTAGAGCCACTACAATCAGTTTAGACTTGGGTAAGCCGGTAAGGAAATATCAACTTTGGTGCAGCTATATCACAATATGATAGGTATGGCCCACCACGGTAGACTCATTGGCACGGCGTGACCGCAAAAATGAGCATTCAATTTGAGGCTCTTGCGTTCCTTAAAAGACGATAAGAAGAAAGTCCGGAAACCACTGTAATGAAAAAAAAAAAAAGAAATTGTTTCTTTTCCTCTTTTCTTGTAGCAGCATTCTGGTCATGCTTGCACGTTTCCCTTTCATGCTTTTGAAGTGCTTTAACTTCAACGACCTTGGATAAGGTTAATTATATGTTGCCACGAGGCACTGGTTAGGTCAACTACCATGAGCTAGTTTCCACTTGGTATACTTGTTATCTTAGAACTGAATGAACATATCAAACAAGAGCGAGACATTCAATGTCAAGCAAACTGTATAGGAGATCAATTCTTTTAGATGCAATTGGTTGGTCATTTAGTCCATCTTTTAGTCCTAAAAATTCTCAGGCAAGCAGTCCTTAAAATGGATTATCATCTATCAACTATGCGGATTCAGCTCTAACTTTAGGTATGATATAAAAGGATCTGTTGTTACTTGATATAATATTGAGCTTGCATGTATGTCCGTAAAAGTATGTGTGCTATTTTTAACCTATGTTTACAACACTGCAGATATTGCTCACAAGGAAATCAAAATAACCAATAATCTCTTCTTTAGCTGAATTGTCTTAAATGTTCTTTTGTTCTTTTCTTTTCCAGCCATAATAACTAGCCATAGAGTAATTGGTTCTTTGTTGGTGCAGGGCATAAAGCTAGATCTTATCTGCTGCTGCTCATAAAAATGAGTCGAGTAATAGTAGAGACAAGTGGTGGCTTGATTTGTTATAGAATCTTGTAGTGGGCAATGAGTGCAGAGATGAAACCCATTGATGTTAACAAGTTAGGAATATTCAGCTGAAGTGTGTGCTTTTAATGATTTGATCTTCTTGATCAGAAAAAAGGGCATAACAATATTTAATGCCCATTTAGTATGGTATTAAAGGCTCATTAATTTGCATCTTGAAGTGCTTACGTTGTTCAAAATTTTTACTATATGTTTTGCTACCTCCCACCAACTCATATGCTAGAAAATTTTGTCTGCCAAAATTTAGCAAATGAAAAGCAATTTTCTTCTAGTGTTTTTTGTTTTTGTTTTTGTTTTTTTGTTTTTGTTTTTGCTGTGATCTGAATTCAAGTCTCTTACGTTTCTTATTCTTAAGCTGCCGTAAGAAAGAAACAGAGAGTTGGGTGTTCATATCCAATTCTTTAATTGTCTTCCCCTTTGTCCACCTTGCAAGCTTGTTTGATTATTAGTGGGGATAGATATAGTTAAGTGATGATTAGTACAATCCAATTTACAAAACACGTAATTACATGCTATAATAACATTCAAAAGTTGTTTTTTAATTTTTTTTTATTTATTTATATATTTCATTAAATATAAGTTTCCCCCTTAAACCTACTATTTTGCTGCTCCTATTGTCATGAGAATTTTTTATGAGGATCACTTGTTACAACAATTTTGTTTTTAACTAGTTTTTTCTACTTGTTAGTTAAAATATTTTTTCATGTTAAAATAAATTTACAGTTGGATCTTCTATTAATTAATTCAAATAAAAAAAATTATGTTGTGAAAGATACCATTTGTTCTTTTGCAACTTTCGTTACACAACTAAAACTATATAGTTAACAAGACGATTTGACAGGGATGAGGAGGGTGCACATCGAGAAACTTTATTCTGAGTGAGGCACAACCAACAATAGTTGTGTGAGGCACCCCCTATTTTTTGACAAGTGTGTTGTAGGGCCCCAATTGTCAGGACACTCTATCTTTCCTCTTTATTTCTCAAATTCCCCTCCTTCAACATTTGACTGTCTCCATTTCGTTCCTTTCTTTTTTTCTCTCCAACGCTCTTCTCTTCTTTAATTTGTCTAATTGTCTCCCCTACTCTTGTCATAGTCTTGCTTCATTTGTCAAAACTCAAATAAAAATTGGGGATTGATATTAATCTAAATTTTATATATCTCTTTTTTCCCCCAGTGTTTTTCGAATTTTTGTTCCTAATACACCTACAAGACTAAATTTTATAAGGATTCCAGTCTTCTAATTTCCTCATTTATGCTTTTTAATTAGTTTTTAAATTTCATAATGTAAGAATTCTAATAAGTATAAAACCAGTTAACCACTACAATTTTTCAAATGCAAATTTATTTATTTAATTTATTTGAAGTTTGCCAACGACAAGTGGGGGTAGAGCGCGGACAAGTGTGCTTACACTTGCTCATTTATTTTGAAGTCCGAATTAGTTTTTGAATTGTACTTTATTCACTTTGTCCCAAATATATTCATTTTTGCTTCTGGAGAGTTAATTTGAATAATTTTAGCGTTAAATTGGATTAGATAAACTCAATATGTTAAAATTGAAATATTTAAAAAAAATTACAAAAAATATTATAAGTTGCAAATTTTTTCATATCAATATGATAAAAATAATGTATTTCAAAATATTGGATATAGTTCACCTTAATTATATCTCGAAGGGCGAAAAGTGATAGACAATTTGGGATGGAGGAAATACTATTTTTCTTTTACAAGTAATAAATAGTACTCTACAATATATTAGTCAAACTATCGAAATTCATTCTCAAGTCAAAAGTTATGCAAAGCGAGATGGAAGAAGATCTTTTCCCAAAAATTTCTTGTTTCCTACTATTTGATTTATTATACCCCTCCATTTTAATTTACGTGAACATATTTCTCTTTTTGTCTGTACAAAAAAGAATGACCACTTTTTATATTTGAAAATAATTTACTTTTATTCAATGATTTATAGTCAAAATAGCACGGGCTAGCCAGTTTTCGGACTGGTCATTCAAAAATAGCAGCATTTGTCAGGTCATTGAAAAATAGCCATTAGTTTGCTGCAAAAAAGCCGGTCTAGCATAATATACTGGAGTTCGGTGGACCTGTGTATGAACTTCCAACATATTATGCTGGATCAATATACTTTGCTGGGTCCTGTATAATATACTGGAGTTTCAGCAAAGTATATTGGAACTCCAAACTCCAGTATAATATACTGGAGTTTCAGTATATTATGCTGGAGTATTTTTCGGATTTTGAACAATATTTTTGTTCAGATTTATCTTTACATGAAAAGTAGCTAAATTTCAATGACTTTTGAAACTGTGGCTATTTTTGAATGACCACTTATAAATCTGGCTATTTATGAATTTCTCCCTGATTTATATCCATATAAAATATATGTGCCTCATTTTACATCACAGTTTCAAAAGTCTTATATCTTTTCTTAAATTCCATGCCCAATTAAATTGGTTGACATAAATTAAAACGGAGGAAACATATTATTCGTAAGCTATCTCATGTTGGTTTTGGCCATAAATTATTTCAGTGAAATTACACGCCTAATGAATTTATTTACGTGTTCGAAACTGCAAAGTGCAAACGTAGAACCAGCACAATTTGAGGAATGAGGTGGAAGAGAGAGTTTGCCAGCAAGGTGGGGCCCAACGGACACTTGTCAAAACAAAAGGTGCCCTTATACAACTATTGTTGGTTGTGTCTAGCCCAAAATAAAATTTCTCGTGCACATCATATGGATTCACATTTTGTGATACAAAAAGATACTCATGTTGACTTTGCTAAATCCTACGAGCTCTCTGCCAAACAGGGGCGGCTCAATGGATTTCGTGGCCTACGGTGAAACCATATTGAGAAACCCTTACACTAGCAAAGAGTTTGTTTCTAAACATCAAATTAATCATTTAAGACAAAAATATCGAATTTAAAAAAAAAAATAAAACCTAGAAAGAAGAGTACAAAGAATAAAGTGGTGAATTATTGAATGTTGAAGTCTGGAACTCAAAGTAAAATTTTTGATTTGGCTATCATCACGAACAAAAAAAAAAGGAATGAAGTTACTCAACATAATAGTTTAAGTTTTGAGCATTGACAATGTCAAAACTGTTACGCCTTCTAATCAATTTAAATGATAATGGTAGTTTATTTTATTAAGTAGCACTAATCGGTGAATATCTAAAATAAATTGTAACCTACTATGATTTGTTGGATTACATACACTAAAAAGAAATCGGTGCATGAATGCTTTTGCGTTCATGCAGTTTCAGAGAAGATTGTGAAAGAAAATCTTTATGTTATCGATGTATATAACTTAGTTCCTATATAAAAAGGATAAAACTACTATTAAAGAGTAAAGCAAATATACTAATTAATGAGTGAAGAAAATTATCATAATTTATGAACTTAATGGTATAAAATAACCTCAATTAAATAATAAAAAAATATTGTAAAACTTTTATTTATAATAATTATTTTTAAAAAATTATATAATAATAATAATAATATAAAAAAATTAATATAAATTTGGGGCATTCAAAGTTTGGGACCTAAGACAATGGCCTCACTGGCCTAGCCATAGAACCGCCCCTACTATCAAAAGCGACTTCGTACTAAGAGGCTAGAATCTACTACTATGTTTAAGGATAACATAGAGCATTTCGAAGAGAAGACCAAACATAAAGCTCCATCATTAAATGATATCTTCATGGAAGAATGCCACTAATCACTCAAAACCCTATAAGTTGAAGATTTCCTCTCTGAGAAATTGATAGTGATACAAGTTGTTATTTGCTCCTTCATTGATCGTTGTGGTGGTTGGTGCTTTATTGTGCTTAATAGGAGTATTTCCATCTGTAGTAGCACGACACGGCTGTATGATTGTTCCTTCTACAAATTTGGCAAGGGATTTGTAATTGTCGTTCCATTTGATTGTTTGATTGTTAGCTCTCCAGATGATTTCTGATTTTGGTTGCTTGGCTTGAAGCCAAATCCTCTGCCTCTTCCTTGTCTTCTTCCTCCATGGAAATTTCCTCTTCCTCTTCCTTCTCCAAAGGAGCCTTGGGTTCAGTTTGACTAATTGATTTACACAATCCTTTTCTTCATCTTCTTCTCTCGCGTCAAAACCCTTAGTGCATTAAAAATTGAGTAAAAGTAAGGATATGGAGGTTTACCCTATATTACCATTCTTAAAAATTTGTACTTGTTTCCGGATCTTTAGCAAAACTTAAAATTTTGCTATCTTCGTCTAAAGATTTGTGTATAACTGTAACAACCACAACAACAACATTTTAAGTGTAATCTTATAAGTGGGGACCGGAGACGGTAATATGTACACCTTACCCGTACCTTGTGCAGATAGAGAGGTTGTTTCCGATGGACTCTCGGCTCAAGACAAACATAAATACAACAATTTAGAAAAGGAAATACAGTAATGAAGAAGTCAAGAAAAAAGAAGCAGTAACAACAACAAAATAATAATAGAACCAAAGAAGAAGCAACATCAAGTAGTAGTAGCAATCTTAAAATAAGAAAATACTAGAATAATACAAAAATTATAGCTATGGAAAGGAATAATGCTCGACTACCTTCTAAACTTCTTCCCTAATTGTTGACCTTCACACCATCCTATCAAGAGTCATGTCCTCGATAAACTGAAGATTTGTCATGTCCTGCCTAATTACCTTGCCAATACCTTTACCATTGGCAACATCTCACACCTCATCATCGGATATTCTGTACATCTTCTATTCACATGCTGAATCATCTCAACCTCGCTTCCCACATTTTGTCCATCAGAGGGGCCGGCCCTACCTTGTCCTGAATATCTTCATTTCTGACCCTATCTCTCATTGTGTGCCTACACATCTATCTCAACATCCTCATTTTCGCTACTTTCATCTTCTGGACATGAAAGTTTTTGACTGGCCGACACTTTGCTTCGTACAATATAGTCGGTCTAACCACTATTTCTAGAACTTATCTTTAAGTCGTGGTGGCGCATTCTTATCACATAAGACACCTGATGTAAGCCTCTACTTTCATCCATCTTGCTCCAATATGATGTGTGAAATCATCGTCAATCTCCCCATTACCTTGGATTACTGAACCAAGATAACTAAAACTTCCTCTCTTAAGGATGACTTGTGTATTTTTCATGTCAGCC